TCTCCACCTTAAGATTGCAATGGCGAACATCTGAATCAGAGATTGGGTCATAACAAAGAACGGCTCCTCTTGAGAATATCTCATTTTCCTCCAATCTAGTTTCAAAAGGGATAGACTTTTGAACACCAGATTTTCTTACCTTCAGCACATCAAAAAAAGAAGGTTGACAAAATTCTTCAATAGAATCCACAGTCCTTGTAGAACCCAAAGAGACCTGACCCAAACTTCTCTTTCTGGGCCTAACCTTTTTTTTGGAAAGAGGCCCACTAATCTCCATCAAACTTTTTAGTTTTGTCTTCTTACGAGGCACAAAAGTTCTACCTTTCAAAAACACCTTTATACCCTGACTGTTAAGAAAGTCTAAGTCTGGTTCCCTGACACCTAACACCTAAAAAAAGAGTATCTACCACCCTATCAACCTCATTAACAACCAAAACTTTAGCAGCAAACGCCTCCTTTGCCGCTAGAATAGCCTCATCAAAGTCTGTAACTAGAGGTCTAGGAACCTTAGGTTCAACTAGCTCATTAGAAGAAAACGACCTCTTTAGAACCAAGGGTTCCAAACCAAGGTCGTTTATCTAAGGTGAAACCGATTTAGTCTGGGATGAACTAGAAACCAGATTCACCTTAATATTATGTAATGCCTTGAAAGACTCCAAAACATCCTCCCCTTCTTCATCATTAAACCTGCACCATGAGCTCTCTGATTCCGACGACGACACTTCCTTACTCGTCTTAGAGTTACTCATCAAAATACGCAAAGGTCCATTGTAACACCCATTTTAATTATTTAGTATTTTTAGTGTGTCCTTGTGTGGGGAGTGTATCTAAGCGCGTTGGTGGGTGTCCTTAATTGATAAGGATTATTTTAATAAGCCATGGAGTTAATATTAATATAATATAATAAATAATGATAATAATTTAATAAATAATAATAATATTGTGTTTGTATTATTATTATTATTATTATTATTATTATTATTATTATTATTATTATTATTATTATTATTATTATTATTATTATTAATGGAATAAGTAATAAAAGGGGATTTTAGGAGAAGAAAAGAAGGAGAACACGATAAACCAATTTGGGAGAAAGATTGAAGAGAAAGAACAAGGGGAAGAGAAGAAGGCTAGGGTTGTCAGATTCTTGGGGGTTCTTCATCAATCGAAGCAATTAATCGAGGTAAGGGGGAGAAACTGATTGGGATTGGTATTTACATGAATTGGGTAGAGGGGATTCCTTAACCCCGTAGGGATTTTGAGGAGCATGATTTGTATGTTGATGAATTAGTGAGTATGTGTTTATAATTGTTACTGTTATGATGAATTTCGTGTACATTGATGTGTTTATGAGTATTGCTGCCATTGATGAAATTGTGCATGTGTTGTTGTGAGATTGGTGAGGTTCTGTGTAACTTCTGCAGTAGTAGTGATGAACACGAATATTGGTTCTGTAGAGAAAGTTTAAGGGAGGAAATGATTAGAGTAGTGTGTGATAGTTGTAGTAATGATAGGGCAGAGGATAGATGAATGAGTAGAAGTTTATGTAGGGAGAAAACCCTAGATTTGAAATTGTGGAGTAATGGTGAATGAGTAGAAGTTTATGTAGGAAGAAAACCCATAGAATACTCATGATTTAGTGGATTTTCGAGTTTGGTGAATACCCTAACATGTGGGGATTGATTGTGGTAGCAAAGAGGGAAGGGTTGGTGAAAAATACCATTTTCTGCATAATTTTTCAAAAGCACACAGTAAGCAATCGATTGCACTAGTACAACAATCGACTGCACAGCAAAACAGAGGCTAAAATGTGAAAATTCGGGTCAAGCAATTGATTGCATGCTGTATAAAAGTTGAAAATTGGAAATTTTTGTTCCGACGATTTTGGCCATAACTTTTAATCTGTAAGTCGGTTTTAGTTCCCGTTCGAAGCGTTGGAAAGCTAATGAATAGATCTATAACATGGTATAGATAATATAATTATTTGCCAAATATTTTTATATCCAATATGTTGGGGAGTCATTGTTTAATTAAATCTTAACTAAAACATGGATTAATTGAGATGATTTTCTGATTATTTACTTGGTGCTAAAAGGGGAAATTGTGTAGTATTGAATATTAATTGAAATAATTAAATCGGTGGTGTGATATATGTATGAGGTACGGTGATGTGATCAGGAGGATCGTGTGACTTCAGTTAAAATGATTAATTGATGAACAATACGTATGTATGATGTATGGTGATGTGATCAGGGGATCGTGTGTGCTTAGTGTGTTTGGATTTAGTTGTTGTACATTGGTGTGTATGATTTGATTTGATTATGCAATGGTTTATGTTAGGATATTGAAATGATTAAATTGGTGTGTAATGTGTATATATTGTATGGTGATTTGATCAGAGGATCCTGTGCACTTAGTGTGCTTGAGTTCAATTATTGTGCATTTGGTGTTATGCATATCATGGTGTTTGGTGGGATGAATCATTGCTCAAGAGGAGTGTATGTGATTCATCCGTACTGTATTGCGGAGAATGGTGGGGATAGATCATGGCCAAGGACGGATGTATGTGATCTATCCGGGGTTCGATTGAATGAACCAATGAGTCGGTACCGCATGCATGGTGTTGAGTTGCATAATTGCATTATGGTGTGTTGTGTTGATGTTGGACAGTAGGTCGTGTTTGATGAATGTTGGGTGATGAATTATATGATTACTACCTTTATTTCATGTACTGTATTACCAATAATTTTGATCATGTTTTCTCATCCCTTTGTTATTGTTGTGGTCTGTGCTTCTTCGGAGGTACAGACAATCCAGGTACTTAGCTAGCTTGGATAGTGGTGTGCGAGTCGAGTCGTAGGATGCTCTGATACGTAACACGGGATCTGTGCGTTTAATTGCTTCATGTTGAATTGTTTTATTTCCTGTGACGTATCAAGTTTGGTGAACCTTTTAATGAATGTTTTTGTGTGATTTGGCGGATGGCCGTGAATGTTGACTAAGGATAATTTCCGTTGTTTTATTTTGAAAACCATCTAATGATGAGTATGTTGAATTATTTGGATGTGATATCCCACTTTTGAAAGGAAACTCTGATGTTTAATTGAAATATTTGTATTTTATTTAATTTTGGAAAGTGGGGTGTTACATCCATGACTATCTTCCACCATCTTAATACTAAAAATCACACCATTAATCTTAACCTTCAGAATTTCATTTAGAACCAGAGCACATTGAGTCCTAACCAGGATCCTCACCACGTCCATACAAGAACTCTTCGACGTATTTTCATCGACACACACATACGTTCCCACCGTCTTGGCTAAAATTTCAAAAAAAGAGAAGTTTCAAGCATGGCAGGGGATCCCATAACACCTGAGCCAAGGCATTCTGCTCTTATCAACGTCTTCCTCTCTCCATTCTCTGATTTCCTTGAACCATTGATGCCACGACGATTCTGCTTCCCTAATCAAATCTTTGATTTCCCCTTCTTCACTCTCTTCAAGCAGACAAAGGTGTGCCCCTAACATTGTCACCTTAATAGAGAAATACCCTTCTAACTCAAAGTTGTTCTGAATATTGTAAGCCATACATGGTTCATTTACGACCCCGACGAATGCTTTGTTGAACCTTCTTATGTCACAATCCTTAGATTGGTAAGACAAAGCTACTGAAACCTTGCGTGTCCAACCTGTTTGAGCACTATTGATGACCACATCAACAAAGGATCTCTCCCAATTCTTACATCTTTGAATTATTTTCTTCTACCTCCTTCCTCCCCTTTCATCCCCTGACTCATTCTACTCCTATACTTAACCGGTCTTCCTGCTCCAATCTTAACAAGTCTCTCAAATCTCGGTACATTCACATGAATCTTCACGTTATCAATGAATAAGTTATCAAGCGTCACCGCTAAACTTCTAACATCTTCAACATCCAAGAATCTCGCGAAGCCAAAAAAAATTCCCCGTCTATTTCTTTTCTGAGGGATCATGACCTCCCTCACAACTCCATAATCACCCAAAAAGATTAAAGATGTCTTCCGCTCTACTTCTATAAGGGATTTCCAAGAAGAAGATATAACAAAGGCAATTACCTTCCCCTTCCCCAATTGAAACACCTCTCGGAAATACGTCCCCTCTATACCTCTCGAACTTATTTTTCTTGTTACTCTGTACTCTTTTCCACTCCATCTTGAAGAGACTAACTTGACTTTGCCTTAGAGAGAAGTGTGACTCTCTCTCTCTCTAACTTTTGATCATGGTTTCTATTTGCTTTTAATAATTGCCAGCTTGAGTGAAAAATGAGTGATGTGTTTGTTTATTAAAAAATGAGTGAAAAAGATGGTAGGTAGGAAAATAGTTTTTAGAAAGTGGCAGTTTGAAAATAAATTTTCAAATGTGGCATTGCTAAATCCGCTATTCCATGTATCGTATTTTTCAATGGTAATATTACAAGTATCGTATCTGGAAAGAATCTTCATAACTTTTTTTTTATCAAAGGTCAATGTAACAGTGGTATTACACGTATCGTATCTGGAAAGAATCTTCATAAAAAATTGATCAAAGGTCAATGTAATCATAGTCTTGTGAATTACTATGGGCTAAAATGTTGTGCACTACAGTATTTACCAATATAAAATTGATCCCTATGAAAAATCACATTTATTCTACTATTAAAAAAAACACAAAAAACAATATTATTTTATTTTAATACTAGTAATTAAACATGATGCTCCTTTATGGTGATATCACGTAAAAATCCACCAACTTTGCAGAATTTGAATCCTTCACATTTATAAAACAAATCAACTAATTGTTAAGTGGAGAGATGCAATATGGAAACAAACATATATCCTTGTTTACCTCAGCTCCAGTATTTTCAACATGCTGCAAACATTGACACTTCATTCTATCCCATTTTCACTATAATCTAACGAGTACCTTACCGAATTCATCAACTGTTGGACCAATTTATAGACGAAATGATATAAAGAATCATGTTGAACATCCAACTGCCGTTTGGAATTGCTTAGGTACACGGAGCATCGGAGCTTGAATGGTGCCGGGGTTGCCTAGCTGACCACACGCAGCCATCTGATCATCGCCTCTACTGGGTCTTAAAAGAACTACGCATCCTGCCTCAGCTAGCATATTTCTGAATTCAATCATTCTTTCGTCTTTAGTTGGTCTGAAGAAGGATCCACTATGCGGATTGAATGAGATGAGATTGATCTTGCAAGGGATGCCTTTTACCAGCTCGATAAGCCTCTTTGCATCTTCATTGCTGCATTATAAAAATTAAAGCTGAAAAAACTTATTTTTACACAAAAATAAGGGGTGTAGATATCATCAACAAGAACATTCAAGTCTTTCGACATGGAATATATTATAAAACAAGAATAGAAGAACTGCACAAAGTACTAAATCAACTATAACAATGAAAGCTTTTTTCACTAGGTGTAGATTGGTTATGTAGATAAAACGACTAAGCATTGCTGCAGAAAATTCCAACAGAAAAATCCAACCCGGCTTAAAAAACACACTCATGTGACAAACTTGTGATTCCACGAGTTGACAGCGATATTCCGGATTTTGCTGCAATCTTCAGCGATCTAATCCTATGTGCATCGCTGCACGAACAAGTGTTGGAATTGCAGGATCATGTGATACCACGGGTATACTTGCAATCGTTGGGCCTCAGAAAGCTCTGAGACTGGTCTAGACCAAGTATGCTTTTCAATTTTAACCTAATGTGTCTTCTGCTAACTTACATTATAGGCTTCCCTCAAGAGAAAGTCATATGCTTTCACAACTTTTCTCATTATCCGAGTCACCCATTGGTGACGGAACGGCAAGGCCTGATTTGGTTTTCTTGGTTTCGCTGTTCTGTGCCGTGATAATGGCTGCAACGGCCGAGTTTGATAACATAGGAGCCACTCTTAAAGAACCCAGTTGTATGTCTTTTCCAAACTACTTGTTTTTCCTTTTTCAGGGTTGTTCTCCTTGGCATAAGACTAAATCTGATCATTGTGATACAAAACATTTGTCTTAATCTCAGCTTAATTTCTCTTTCATAAGAAATTATCACGTACTCATTTGACATGCTCTAAGATTTCGTAATCTCGCAGAATAACTTTGTGACACATGTTATAACTTTTTCTGTGTTGTCAATAGTGCGGTGTAGCGGAGCGCCTTTAGCCGGTAATGGACATGGGGTAGCAGAATAGTGGTTGTCGCAGCCGCTATCAAAAATTCAAACACAAAGCCTTTGGTATTTTAGGAATTTTGCAATTAAAATATGTCTTAGCAGGTTTGGGCTTCTAATGTCTCACACTATCTCACTCATGATGTCATATTTTATTTCACACTCAGTTGAGTTTTTATCTAACGAGAATAAGTGTAAAATCATTTATTCAACACAAACAATAAAGTGAAAGAAGTTTCCCTAACCTGTCATTAATTCCTTCAAGCATCACATACTCAAATAGAACCTTATATTTGTGTTTCAAGCAAAGCTCCTCCCGAAGCGTCTCAAGAAGCAAATCCAGTTTATACTTTCGATTTATAGGCATGATCCAGTTTCTTACCTGACATAATAGATTTTAGTGCGGCCAATCCTTTGTTTATTACTATTCTTGGTTTTTCATGACTACTTCTATGGGTGCTCTACCAAATAGATAGCAACAAAAAAATAATTTTTACCTCATCAGTAGTTGCATTCAGACTAACAGCTAACGTGCAGTTGGATTCATTAAGGAAACGTCGAAGCTGCGGAACAAGCCCACTGGTTGAAACAGTGACTTTGCGGGGGCTGAAATGCAGCCCTTGATCATCCACCATAATATCTGCAGCTTTAATGACATTATCAATATTATGAAGAGGTTCCCCCATGCCCTAAAATAAAAGTATAGCAATTATTAGCTTGCAATAACACATATAATAAAAATCTAAGATAAGAACTGTCACGGTGAAAAAAAGGTTATTTTATTATCTAGTCAGCCTTTTTAGCGAAATATACTTTTCAAGAAGTTTAAACCTAGTTTATCAATTAATTACGTTTGGCCTAGCCTAGGCCAGTATTTCCGAGGAGCAATCTGACCAATTTTCCTTTTTCTGTGAATAAAGTAGAAGTTGATATGCAATAGTCTTTAGAATTCCCAATGCAAAAGTTGACCTACCATAAACACAACATTGGTGATGGAACCAACTTCACTTGTGAATAGCCGTCTGGCAAAAACGGCCTGCTCAACTATTTCTGCAGCAGTAAGATGTCTCTTAAGACCCATTCTGCAAAATTTAGTGTATGAAAAACTTGCAGCAAAAGTAAAGATGACGATGTAGCCACTGAATTAATCATTACAGACAGAAACAAGGCTTGCCTTCCAGTATAGCAAAATTGACAATTCATGGCACACCCAACTTGACTGGAAACACACACGGTAGTCCTACCGGTATCACAAGGTATGACAACTGTTTCTATGACCAGCCCATCATCCAATGTGAATAAAATCTGCAATATCCTGTGAGTTTAAACAGTCAACAAGAAGATTTTCCAGATATACAACTAAATACAAGCAAGCAATGCAAGAAGCTAAAAGCCTAAATATCATCAAGTAACCGCGAAGGTGGCATGCATTACTAGGTGGATAAAAGATTCAAAATATATAATAAGAACTGAAAAAACAATAGAGAAGGATAATTTCAACCTTCCTAGTTCCATCAGAGGCCGTGTGAATTTCTTTCACAGCAAGTGCCTTGAAATCTGCATTTTGACTCAACATCTTCTTGAAATCTTTGTTCAAACCTAAATCACAAGACAAAATTAATAAATAAAAGTACAGGACTTATTAGTCAATTTAAATTACACAGTTCAAAGTTCATAACCAATTGTTCAATATATTCAGGAGAAGGATCTGAAGAACTAGTTCATTAACATTACTCATTGATTAAACACTGCTACATACAGGTATTACAAAATCAAAAGTTTTTGCCGAGTCTCGAATACATGAAGGAGAAGATGAAGAAGAAATTACCTTCCAACTCATCAGTATGATGCGCCCACATATTGTTTCCATACATACGCTTCCATAGCATCATGGCCTGCCCTGGTCTGTATCCATGTGATTGAACCCATTTCTGTATCATTGGCCACAAAAATAGGAGTGAGCAAGTGGAAATCAAATACACAATTTTATATTTTATTTGGATCATGACATATTCAACATAAAACCGAAGAAAGAAACAATATATTCAAGTTAAATTCCTAGAAATGAAATTAAATATGTCAAATCCTCATGACTAACTTATAACCATCACATTTTATTAACATGTAAAAGTATACAATATATTTTTGGTTTCCCATGTCATAAATCATGCAAAGCACAACTGCAAAGACTAACTCATTCGAAGATCTAATCTAGAGTACATTTCAGGTCTGCCTCACCAAATGGTGAATCTCTATAAACATGAATTAGGTATCAAACCCTAGACCAAATTTTAAGGTACCGAGCTGCTTGCCACTCTGAACACGCAATAAATATATACACATATGCTACCTATGTCCTTAAAATATAAGTCCATTTGAAAAATACTATATCAAAATATAACTTATTGTTTGGTTTCACGCTTGGAGCACTTAGAGTTTGATTCTAACGTGTTTGGCTGCTCTTTAGTAGAATTGATTATGCTTTTCAGGATTTATTCTACTCAAAGCTAATATTTGTAGTTTTTGAGTCCAAACGTGACTTTTACACTAAATTTACTCTACTACTCACTTTTGCAGCAATTTATCCCAACATAAATCACTTTACTTTCAAGTCACTTTTAACCTGAATCAATTTTACAAAATCAATTTATTTAAAATGGATTTTCTTCAAAGCAGAACCACGGCTGACTCATTTGAAGTTCCTGGATACATCTCCATCTATACAGAAAGGAGTAATTTTGGAACATCAATACACAACTTGAACACATTGAATACACTACACACTTTTCTTAAGAATAACAGAACACAAAAAAAGGAAACATACTTCAAGTTCAGAGTAAGTCATCCCTTTAAGAAGCACTTTATGACCTGTCCTTGAAACTGCAACACCGTTTCCATCTCCTGCTTTAAACAAAAACTAATAAATTAAAATTATGAAGAAGAAAAAATGAAGTAGAAGGAGCGTTTTGCATATTCAGAACGATGGATGGAAAGGTGACCAGAATCAGAGAAGTTGAAACTGTGGTCAGCGGAGACCACCGAAGGAAGGGAAGAAGCAGCGGAAAGGAAGCGGCGAGAGGGAGCGGTGAGACAAACGAGATAAGGCAAGGTTTTGGTGAGGGAAAAGGGGATAATGGTTTTGAGAATGGGTTGAGAAGATAGAAGAAATGTGGAGTTTGTTACTGCACCCATCGCCACCATGCTCATCCAATTCTTCATGCTTTAGTTCATTGCCTCACAAACCGACCGCAGGTTATTCAATTTCTTACCACAGTACTAATAAAAAGAAGTACGAACATGAATTTAGTTAGTTTTGGGTTAATACATCCTTTAACCCCAGCCATTTCGGACGGACTTGAAAAAAAGATTTTCAAAAAAAAAAAAAAAATACAGATTCTGTTTTTGTCATTTTAAAATTCTTCTCTTTTAGACTTTAAATGGATCTATTAACTAAAATGTATCGTGGTATTTAGGAATGTACATAATTCAACCCAATTTAAAAATTCGTTTCAACTCAATAGTTTTGGGTTAGTCTTTTTTCCGTTTCATATAAAAAAAATAAATCCCATATCAGGTCGGAAGGGTTCGGGTTGACCCTCGGATTACCCAACACGTCCTAATATTATGAATGCACATGTGATACTATTTATTTATTTAACTTAGTGGTACTAGCGTCCAGACAGGCACTTGCCCGCCTGTCTGCTTTTTATAATACTCACCCCGATTAAAATATAAATTGTACTATTATTTTTATTTAATTTTTATTTTATTATTTATTATTTATAAAATAGAAGTAATAGATAATGGTGTAAAATTTAATAAATAGTCACATAACCACCAATTGTTAGAAAGAGAAGTTAAAATTTAAAATAAAAACTAAAAATGGTATATTTGGAAGAAAAAAAAGGCTACACCAAAATCATATTTTACCTTTATATATAGGTATAGATATTTAGATTATTCCAAATTTCCGATAGACTTTTTTACTTCCCACCTTATAATTTAATATATACAGTAAGTAAGTACTAAGTACACATCTTCTCACTTCCCAAATTTCATACTTTTCTAGTTATGTTACATCACGTTTTCTCTTACATCATGTTTTCTAATTCTTTTTACTATGTTTTAGTGAAAATAAAAAGGTGATGACATATATAGAATTACATCATGATTTTTATTTTTAAAAATTGTCTTTAGATGTCTTCATTGTTTTTCATTCATGCTAATGATTTTATTCACATTTCTTATTTAAATGAATTTTTTAAAATACTATAATAAATTTCTTAAGTCACTAAAAATTTTTTCTACATATATTTTGAGTCAACCCGATATCGTCTTACATTAACCCGGTCTAAACTAACTTATATATTATCGAATTTTTTTCGGGTTTAGGTACGGTTAGGATCATTAAAATATCCCAATCAAAATTTAAGATAGGGTTAGGGTTAGTCATAACTCATCCCGACTCGTCCCTTGCTCACCCCTAGTGGTATTGACAACGTAACATTTTTTACATTGTTCACTTAAGTAACAACCTACGTGTAATTTAAGATGTTAATGATAATGTTACTTCGTGACAAAGGGGAATTTTTTAATTGATTAATTCCATTTTACTAATTAATAAAACAAACAATGTAAAATGAAATGGGATAAATCATCTTCTTCATTTCCTCTTTCTTGTTTGCAGCTAGGGTTCAAAATTTTCATTTTCTCTTTTGTGAACTTCAATTCGTACCTCTATTGATGATTGGAAGCGCGAGTTCAAGTTACATTTCCAGTGGGAGAAAAGTTCTGATTTGTGGATACGAGCTTCCAATGAGAATTCACGTTTCGAAATCAAGCTCAAACTCAGGAAGAAGATATTGGAAGTGCAAATTTTGGGGGGTTTGTTAAAATTTCGTTCATATTTATTTTCTTGTTTATTTATTTGCCGAGTTCCATCTATTTTTTTGTTTTTCCAGAACGAGGATGATTGGTCATGAGTTTGGGAAGGCATTTAAGAACAAGAAGATCGAGAAACAAAAGTTGAAAGCTGCAAAAGATCACAAAACCAATCAGACAATCACTTACATTCTTGTTGTATTTTGGATATTTTTTGCTATAATATTTTGTAATAGGTAGAATATAAGTGTAACCAGTTTGAACTATAGATGTATGTAATCCCTTGTAATAAGATCAATGAGATCCCTTGTAATTTTTGAATCTTGAATGAAATGAAAAATATCTGTTTGGTACAATACCAGTTTGCAATATCTGTTTGGTTCAATATCTTGTATGCAATATCTGTTTGGTTCAATATCAGTCTACATGTTTGGTTTGGTAAATGTCAAAATGGACTTATAAGATAGAAACAAATCTCATATTGAAACAAAGTAATGCTTCAAAATAGGCTCACAATATCAAACAGAAACAATTAAATGTTGCTAATACCGGTCTGCATTAACATCATACTGAGGTACAAAAGATTCCAAAATATCAGTATACATTAATGCTTTAACATCATACTAAGGTACAAAAGATTCCAAAATACCAGTCTGCATCAATGCTTCAACATCATACTAAGGTACAAACTAAGCACATTATTTGCATTGCAAACATCAAATTAAGGTTCAACCTAAGCACATTTTATATGCATTACAAACAGAATAATAAGATTCAAACTAAGCACATTATATGCATTACAAATAGAGTAATAAGATTCAAACTACAAACATTAAGCAGCTTTCTTCTTTTTGGTAGACACAAATTTCTTCTTGGAGGCTACCATTTGTTTCTTTTTTGGAGACTTGGTATCAGCAACAACTTTAGTAGTGTCAGGGGTTGGATTCACAATCTGAGAGGATTGAGTTGCTTGGTATTTAGCTTCAACTGAGGCCACTATTTCTTCGATTGATGCATCAATTTCACTATGAAAATAGTCCATTGCAGGCTCAATTGCAGGCTCATCCATTGCAGGCTCATCCACTTGCTCATTTGTAGGCTCATCCATTTTTCCATTTGTATTAGCAGGTTTAGCCCTAGGTGTTTTTCTCTAAGACACCAAAACACAAACATCATAAGTTATGCTCCATAGTACATGATGCAGTACTTAACAACATGCAACAAAAGATAGAAATAAAAAATAGACAAATCTTTCTCTTTAATGCAGCAGGGTTTTGTTCTTTCCTCTGACATTTTCTTGAGTTATGACCAATCTTGTCACACTTAGTGCACCTGTAACTAACACCAGACATTCTCATTCTATACCATTTTCATCAAGTTTCCTAGGTCTACCCGGTCCTTTCTTAAATGATGGTAGAAGCATATCCTCAACATCAACCTTGGGCCACATATTCATGCCATTAGTAGGACTCACATTGTATAAGTAACACTTATTATATGTTTCCCTACTATCGCAGTCATCTATAAAATGTTTTGGATCCAACTTTTGATAACTCATAGGAGTTATGACATGTCTACATAGAATGCCCACAAGTTCCCAAAAACATCATGTACATGTTTTTTTTTTACTAAAATCAACAATGAATTGATGACCATCAAATGTATGGTTTACCTTCCATTTCATTTTTTACAAACTTAATCTCTCTACCATTTAAAACATACCATTCTCTTATGGAATCCTTAAATTCAACAAGAGAGTTAAACTTCATACCCAATTTAAACTCAAAGTCTTTGTTGAGCAAATCCCCTATAAACTTCTCATATATAGGTATCCTTTCATTATCACTACCATCTGGGTTTGAGCTACCCAACTCTTCACTTTCATAATCACCATCTTGTTCTACACACTTTGATGAACTTGGATTCCCACGCATGACCATTGAAGGAACTACCAACCTGATTTTTTTGGTGGACCTTACAGTTGATGAATCCTTGTTAGCTTTTAACTTGTATCTATATTTCCTACCACTGATGTCAACCCTATTACCTTCTTCTGGTTTATCAACTTCCACAACCACAAAGCCTTTGTTTTCCTCATTAACTCTTTCTTCCTCACTATCTTCAAGTTTGACCCCTAAAGAATCATCATCACTGTTATGCTCATTATCTTCACCAATATCTACATAATTTGGAGTGAGTGTAACAGCCCAAATTTCACTAATTAATTAATTATGTTAATTAATTGACTTATTGGAATTAATTTAATGATTTTTGGAATTATTTGGTAGATAATTGAAGAGAGAAATGGAATGGAAGGAAATAAAGGAAAGAAAATAAGGAAGTATATAAAGGATAAGTGGAGAGAATTTGTTAGAAAGAAAATAGAAGAGAAAGAATAAAGAAAGAAGGAGAAAGAGGAGGAAAGAGAAGAAGAAGAAGGAAAGTGTGGAAATCTTCAAGAACAACTCAAGCTTCAATCTAATCAAGGTAAGGGTGAGAAACATTATTATTTGATCAATGTGTGTGGTTATGTATGATTGGGTTGGGTTGTTGGGGGTTTTTCCACCATTTTTCATGTTAGGGCAACATTGGATTTAATCGGTAGAAATCAAGTTTAATCGGTTAAAAATTGAAATAAGTGGTAGTATTTATTCGGGGGATGTTAGACTAAGGTTACGGAACTTGTTCGGTGAGAATCAGTCGGTTTTAGAGAGTTTGGTGGAAGTTGGACAATGAAGGTTTGAAGTTCGCAGACATTCGCTAGCGTGTTCGCTGAGTGAGCTGGTAGCGAACGTTCGCTAAGTGAGCTAGTAGCGAGCCAGTAGCTAACGGTCCCAGACTTGGGCAGAATGCAGTTTATGGTGTTCGCTGGTAGCGAAGGGGGTAGCGAAGGTTCGTTAGGCCTTCGTTGAGCGATCGAGGTAGCGAACGAAGTCAGTAGCTTCTGTTTGCCTTCACGAGCTTGTTCGTTGGGCGAACAAGTGGCGAATACTCGTTAGGGGCTCGCTGAGCGAGCGAGGTAGCGAGCATGACAGATTGTGATTTTCTTGGATTTTCCACCCGAGGTTGGTTTTCCGATTCTAGTATGATTAACCCTTCACCTTAAGACATAGATTATGTTGTGATATATATATGTTGTGGGTAGCCGTATGGCGTGAATCCTAGATTGTTGAATTAAATTGAATTATGGTCTTTTGACAAATGTAATATATTGTTTAAGTTGATTAAAAATGTATGAAGAGTGCATGAGAACATATTGTGAATATGTGTGCATTGCTTGTGTTTATGTGTTAAGAGTGCATGAGAACATATTGTGAATATGTGTGCATTGCTTGATA